CTAGGATGCCCTGCCGACATAATGCTAGTGCCCAAGGGGATGGAGGCTTGTTTCACTCTGCCCACCATTTCAACTCTGCTTGTCGGTATCAAGCACATTGAGGGGTTGGCGATTCCCAGCGACTGCTATCTACAGCCGATGATTCGTGCACGACCGATGGGATGGAGCTGGTCACTGCGATGCTGTCAAAGTATCATGCGCGGAGATTTGGCGAATGGGTTTGGCGACGGGAGTTTGATCGAAGATGGGCGACCTAGCCCTGCGCTGCAGGCAACTTCGCGCGTGGCCGCCGCGGGCGCGTTGACAATTTCGCCGTGGTGGGGTGCGACGTTGGCACAGTCACAGCCAAGAGGGATCAGATCACTCGAGCGTTGGAAAGTTGGGGTTTACCTGCGCATTCCATCGATCAGGCTTCGCCGAGGACGATCTTCACAGGCCTGGAGGTGGACGGCGGGGGGGGCACGGTGCGCGTGAAGCCGTCCAGCCTGATCCGCTTGCGCCGGGCGATTCTGGCGGTGCTGCGGCGGGGGGGCTGCCTCGCCTCGGTTGCTGGAAGTCTTGCTGGAGCACATCACCTGGGCCATGATTTGCAAAAGAGAGGCCCTGTCCATCCTCTCCTCCGTCTGCGCCTTCAAGTCCCTGAAGGACCCCGACGTCAGGCCCCTGTGGAACTCCGTGATATTCGAGCTCAGGTGCGTTGCAAGTACTGTGCCTCTGTGGTCCTCGCACTTGGGTCTCCCATGGGGCTCGCGGGTCTCGGCATCTGATGCGCCCCCCATTGGGGTCGGCGTCTGAACGCGGGAGCTGGAGGGTCCCCAGGTGGCCAGGATGGGGAGGTTGACGGAGAGGTGGAGGTGCAGGTGCGCTTCGGCCGCGGCGGCCAGGGCCAACGCCTTGGGCCTGGACGGGCCCCGCTTGGAGGAGGACTTCCTGGAGGCCGTAGGCGTGAACGGGTGGGAGTCGATCAACACCGAGGTCTCCGTCAAGGGCTTCTTGGAGATCCCCGAAGTGATCCTGAAGGCCTCCGAGTGGGCCACAGTCACCTCGAGGAGGCACTGGGACCCCCGCAAAACATCTTGGAGCTCGAGGGCGAGGCGTTGTGTGACGCCGCGCGGCACGCCTTTCGCAGCGCGCCCCTCCACCATCATCGCCATCTGTTCCTCGTCGATAACCTTCCATTGGCTCTGGCGGCTGGGAAAGGACGAGGTCGTAAACCCGTCCTTCGGCGACCTTTGCGGAAGGTCGCAGCTCTCGCCTTCGCGGTCAACTTCCGCTGCTATGTGCGCTGGCTGCCCTCGCAGCTGAACGCGGCCGATAGGCCGTCGCGTCATGGCTTCTTCCACGGTAAAAGCTTCGAGGGGGCGGCCGCGGCGCCGCCAGTTGCAGCCGGCGGTGAGGCAGCGGCCCATGACGATCCGGGCCGCCCGTGGGGTGGCCCACCCTCGCCCAGTGCAGTTGGCGGAGGGCGCGATCAGCTTCTTCGAGATATCAGCAGTCACGGGTGCGACGCGGGAGCGCTACCGCGGGCGCGCCGCGAGGTTCCGGGAGTGGGTGACGTGGCACAGCTTAGACTTCAGCAGCTCCAACCAGCTGGATGCGGCCGCGGTGGCGTTCCTCACCGACCTCGCCCTGGACGGGTTCGACTCCGCGACGGGCAGGATGTCGGCGGCGGCGCTCAGGCACACTTCCTGCCCCACCTGCTGGGGGGCAAGCGCCCGTTGCCGCGGTCGGCCCGCGCCCTGGGCGGCTGGCGCAGGCTGGTGCCGCCGCAGATGCGGCCCCCTCTGCCCCGGGCTGCAGCCATGGCGGTGGCGGGATGGATGATCTCGCGCAACCTGCCCAGCATGGCGGCGTTCGTGGCGCTGGTGTTCCACGCGTGCCTGCGGCTGTCCGAGGCCTACCGCCTGCGGTAGGGATCGCTGGTGCCGCCGATCGCGGGGGCGGGTTTCAGCTCGTGGGGGCTCATTCTGAGCGATGCGAAGTCGGGCCGCCCTGGGAAGACTCGAGAGACCGACGAGTCGGTCCTGGTGGACGCCCCCGAGCTGTGGCCCGCGCTGCTCGCCTTCAGCGCCAACAGGGACGCTGTGGAATTTCGGGCCCGCCGACGTTCGCGCCATGTTCGCCCAGGGGCTGATGGAGCTGGGCCTGCAGAAGGGGTCTCCCTCTTTGTACACCCTACGCCATAGGGGGGGCCCTCGCGACTTGCTCTCGGGGCCCCGATCGATAGCGGGAGTGAAAGAGAGGGGTCGATGGGTGACGGGCAAATCTTTGAGGATATACGGCAAGCGCATTCGGACGCAGCAGAGAATCGCGGACCCGCCGCCAGCGGTTGCGCAGTTCGGCAATCAGGCGTTCGAGAGGCTGGCGGAAATGATCACACTGAGTTTCGTCAGAGGCGGATTCCCGCTGCCAGTCCCGCTTCAACCTTTGCCCGCCATCCCGCGGGCCGTGAAGCAGGCGCCTGTTCTGACCTTGCGCTGGCGTCTCGCTTACAAGCCGTGTTTCGGCGCGCCCATGCCTGGCCCTCCCTCCGCAGGCGGCTCGTTTTGCCTGTGGTGGGGCCTCGCGGGGCCCCCATATGCAAAGCGCTGCGCAGTCGCGGTCTGGGTTGTCCTAGGTTAGGGGCGGGTCGGAATGCGGGCCTCGGCCTTTCTCAGCGGGTTGTTGTCGATCGAATCCTCGGGTGGTTTCGATCGTCGGCAGTCGGCGCTTTCTGGCTGTCTCTGCCAAGGGGAACCTGGTGCCAGGTTCGTCCTCGGCCAAGTCGGTCGGAGGCTGATCCGTGAGGCCGGCTTGGCCGAGCTTCCGAGGTCAGCGCTTTGCCGTCTCCCCTCTGTGATAATGTAGAGTTGTGTGCCGCTATGCGGTTATCAGTGCGTGCATTACGCACCGTGCCCTTGTCTGTTTCGAGCACCCGCGTAGTAGTGCAACCTGGCCCAGTTAGCTCGGCCGATGGATCACCCATCTTTCGATGACGTTCAGTTGGACTTTTGCCAAGTCGGTGCTGCCACTCGCTCGTCCACGCGCGTGGCTTGTTGGCACTGCTCGAGCATGCGTCGTAGCGCGCGCGTGTGTTACAGTACTTCGTTTGTGTGCTCGCATTCGGGGCGGCCGCACTTGCGTTTTGATGGCCGTACGGTTAAAGGCATCGCGTGCAGACACAAGGCTGCCCGTTTTCTCGTTCGAGCTTCGGAGTTTGGGGCAGACTCGATCGTTGAAGCTATCGAGGAGTTGTCTCAGGCCCGTAAATATGTGTTTGGCGGCCTTCGGCCATGCTGTTTGTGTTACGCAATGTACGTCTGTGCTGCCGCGAGTGACCCGTGCACTCTGGGAGCCGATGCCGTCGGTTCCTGCCATCGCCACCGTCAGCTTCTCCAAGAAGTTTGTGCGGGCCGCGGCGTCCCGACCTGGCAGCATCATCATCAGCATCCGCATCATCAGCAGCATCACCATCATCATCATCATCATCATCAGCAGCATCATTATCATCATTATCAGTATCATCATCATCATCGTCATCATCATCATCATCATCACATTCATCTTCATCTTCACCATCGCCATCATCATCATCAGCAGCAGCTTCGCCATCGCTATCATCATCGTCGTCACCGTCAGCAGCAGCATCATCAGCATCATCATCAGCATCAGCATCAGCATCAGCAGCATCATCAGCAGCATCATCATCCTTATTATAATCCTTCTTCTCAGCCTCCCCCGCGTGCTCCTCACCCTCCTGCCGCTATTGCTCCTGCTCCTCCCGCTCCTGCTACGCAAGCCCTTTTTTGCCTGCGTGCTGCCTGCCGTTCCTCCTGCCGGTGCTGCTCCTCTTCCACACCTCCGCGCCTCCCATACACGTTGTTAATTTCTATGTATTCGAAAGTTCTTTGATTTTGGGGGGCCAAGATCCTTTCATTTCTAATCGTTCTGCCCTGGGCCTCTTCCTGGCCACGGGGGGGCCAGGAAGAATTAGAAATGAACACAATTAGAAATGAGCACGATTAGGAATGAACGACGTGTACTTCTCGGGGCGCGGTGCAAGACTTGATGTGCGAGCGCTGGGTGCCGCAAGCTGGCTAAATCCTGCATTGGTTGTGGTGCACCACGGTGGCGACTCGACGCCACGCACGCCCAATTGCTTCTTGGTTGGTGCGTGATGGATTGCCCCTTGTCTCCTCCCATCCGCCTCCTCTTCTGCTGGTGGGAGCACTCGGTGTCACTTCAGGAGATTGCGCCTTGCCCCACAGGAGCGAGTTGTCGACAGCGGCGTACATCGACGTATCATGTCCTCTGTGCATTGCCGACTGAACCATGGCTCGAAGAAGCCAGTGCTTGTTTCTTCTTGCAACGCTTCCATCTGGAGGTGGCCAAGCGCCTAGGTGGGGCACTCAAGTGTGGAAGGAGAGATGGAACCGCGTCTTCGAAGGGCACGCGTATCCCAAATGTCTGTAAAGTGCCCAAGCTAAATATGATAAGGCTGTGGGTGGCTCGGTGGTAGGGCCAGTTGGAGTCGGTTTTCTCCTCTCGCTGGTGCTGGCCCGTTGAAGGTCTCCTCGAAGACCAGGCGGGGGGGATGAGAAGAAGCGGAGAAGTGAGAGGGAGGGAGGAGGATTGGAAGGAGAACAGGCGAGGACGGAGTACGGAGGAGAATTGGGAGCGGGACAAGGAGGAGGTGAGTGTTGCAAGAGGGAGACGTGGATGAAGAAAGCAGAAGGAGGAGGTCGAAGAGGAGGACGATGCCTCTTTCACGAAGGCACGACGCGATGTGGCGTGCAGGGGACGCCTCGGGGTACAGTCAGCACACTTGTTCTGGCAGCAGGCAGTTTGTTTGTTGTTGCAGCTGCGCGGGTGTACGTGGTTTGCGCCTGGGCGTGGTTTGCGCCTGGGCATGGCGGGATGGCAGGGGCTGAGACCGTATGGGCCCAGCTGCTCTGTGGGGGGGGGGGGTCAGGTCTCGTTGGAAGCGTTCCCCCCGCTGTCCCCCCAGCAGCAGCTCACAGGAGATTGGTGCCTACATGGACCAGGCGCCGCCATGCCCGGCACTCAGCGCGCCCAGGCTGAGCAACTCGGCAGAAGGGCCCTGCATACTCTTGCTTAAGAAAAGTGCGGGCAGATAGATCACCGACTTGATCAGCCTCCGCAGTGAATGGCGATGGACCATCCGTCTCATACGTGCACGTTGAAGAGTTCTTTCGAGACGCGGCCCCGTGCACACAGTCAGAAGATAGCTGTGTTGACACCCTGCCAGCGTACAGTAACGGCGAATCTTCCGAATGCCGGCCCATGACCGTGACGCCACCCGATGGCGGAATTGTAGAGGAGAGTAGCGGGCAGGACAAAGCGTTGCCTACACCGTTGGCGATTGCATGCGCACAAGGTAAGGAGAGACCGTCCAGATCACATGGGTATTATGTGTCCTGGTCGGCCTGGCTGACTGCAGAAAGGATATGGTTCTGCTTTCAGGGGAGGCAGCCTCGAGCGCAATCCCGCTGCCCGCGCGACCGCTAAGGCGGAGACACTGCTGTGTACCGTGGGCCAGGGCCCCTGGCAATGAATGTCCTTCTTGTTGTTTCCATTGCACTGCCACTATCTGCTATTGCAGCCACAGTGGCCTTTGGCTTCAGCAAGTTCTTCGCTAAACGTGCCTGGGCTGTGGAGGGGGGAACGAGGGCATCATAGGGAAAGGCTCTGTCAGGTGCTTATGGTTATCTGCTTGGTGCCATTGCCAACTTTAGCTTCAATCGTTCTGCCTGGGCCTTTTGCGATCGAAATCGGTTATGCGGCGCAGCGTGCCCTGCCAGGGTCGCGACAATGAGGTGCGACACAAGGGGCTGTCCAGCCCCGTGGCGTGCGGGAGAGGAGGAGGACGGCGGTGACGAGGTATTCCGTCCTCCAACACCCCTGAAACACAAGGCAGGCCGGATTTCCTGCGGCGTCGCCTCCCCCCTCCCTCCACCCCTTGCGCGCACCGCCAAAAGGTGCCCTTGGCCCAAGGCGCCCCCAGCTTTTTCGCCCAATGTTGGAGCCCCCCAGGGCCTCTGGGCCTCGTGAGGAGGTGCCCTGGAGGTCGGCAATCCCTGGGGGGGGGCACTTGAAGCAACACTCGAGCCAGGGGAGAAAGCACAGGCCAGGGCTGGACCTAAACGCTGTTTTGCTGGACTTCGGCTGTGTTTTGTTTTTCGTTTTGGCAGGGAGGTACAAGACAACGGGTAGAGCAAAACGAAAACATCACGAAAAACAGCGTTTCGGTCCAGCCCTGGCACAGGCGCCGGCCCTCTTCTTGACCACGCAAGAAGCCGCCGCAACCGGAAGTCCGCGGCGTTTTTCAAATGTTGTGTGGTTCCAGTTGTTTCTGAGTTGCCGCTGTTGTTTGCGAGATGATTGTTTTTCCAACGCAGTGTGCAGCCTCGCCACTTGCAGCACATTTCCCGTGGAGGTGCCCTTCGATGTGCTTGCCCGAGGCCGCGTAGCGATCATGCGCGGCGTTGCCCGTGTGCCACGACGCACCAACGCGTTGTTCAGGGGAGTTCGCATTAGTAGCAATGCGGTCGCTGCAGCATTGCAGCATTATCTTTTCGGCGGCGCGTGACACCCTTTTCGCTTGCCGGCTGCACGTGTGTGCTGTCTTGGGTCCTTGTTGGCCGTACGGGCGGTGCCTTGGGGCCGTCGTGAGGCCGTCTTGGCGCCGTCTTGGGCCATCGAAGAGCTTTATAAGGCCGTATTGGGTCTCATCGGAAGCCCTCTTGGGCCGTCGTGGTGTCCTCTTGGGCCGTTTTGGGACCCTCTTGGAGTCTTCTTGAGCTGTCTTGCGACGACGGAAGCCCGAGAAGGCGAGACTACCAACACGTTTCATGCTGTCAACACACACACACATGATGGGAAATCAATGATGCTGGCTTCTTCGGGCTCGGTTTGGGGTCATCTTGTGGCCCTCTTGGGCCAGCCGTCTTGAGGCCAAATTGAAGGCCATCTTGGGTGCATCTATAGGACCATCTGGGCGGCCTCGGAAGTTTGCCTTGGCCGTCCTGGAGGCCAGCTAGAGCACCCTGAAGGGTCGGGGGGGCGGTGCGTGCGCCTGGGTGTGAGCAGAGGCGCCAGGCCCAGCTTCCTCTCTTCCCGTCGCGCCGGGGTCTCCTCCTCTCCTCACGCGCACCGCGGCCCAATTTGCATCTAGCTCGCCCCACTGATGCCCGATCGCTGGAGCAGTAACCTCTGCCCAGCCGCCGACGCAAGAAGTGAGCAGAGGCGGAGGCCCTTACATGATTGCAGTGTCCTACCAGACAGCACTCGGCATTCCACAGCTCCTCGTCGTGCCAAGGGGCGGGGCACGGTGGTGGACTGCTGGGGTAGAGCAGGTGCAGTGGAGTTTGTCGTGGAACTGCGTGGCAGGCGCTGATGTAGGTTTGTGGGGCGCTCCAGAAAGGGCCTCGCCTTCGAGAGTTCGAAGGCGTTGGCATCTCTTCCTCGGCGGAAGGCCGGCGGAACCTGGCGGAAGTAGAACGAGGGCGCCTCCGACTGCGGAAGCCAGCGGAAGGGCAGCGGAAGTAAAAGATGCGCCCCGAAGAGATGACAACATGTTTTGGTTCAGGGCTCCCAGACCCTGCCACATGTTCGCTTACATATCTGGTCGCTAACGATGGTGTCCCTGGCCCAAGGTGCCCCCGGTTTCCCGCTCCATTCTGGGCCCCCTCGAGCCCCCGTGGGTCTTGTGACGGATGCTCCGGAGGAAGTGGGTGCCTCCTGGGAAATCCTTGGGGTACCTTGGGCCAGGGGCACTTCTAGCAACACTCGAACGACGTGCACTGGCTCAGGCCAGCTCGAACCCACTTGCCAGCAGCGCCCTGCTCTGCAGCGCCCCCCGCTCCAGGCCCTTCCGCTTCGGGGCAGCCATCGGCACCGCCCCTTTGCGCGGGGCCATGAAGAAGCGCGGGCGCAACGCCCTGGGGGAGAAGAAGCGCTGGTCCGAGAAGAGGAGGACAGGGATCATGTCCCTTCGAGTCATGAGAACATCGAACATGTCAACGGACTGTTTTTCGCTATTTTCAACCTCTGGTGGCCTTTACCGGGCCACGGGACCGTCAAAACACGATTCAGGATTAAACACTGGTCCCGGGGAGTGGGTCAAGGCCTCTGGGCTCTGGGGGTCGACGTTATGAACAAAGCATGACGTCGGGGGTCTGGTGGGGCTCTGCTATCTGAGGGGTGCGCGCCAGAGGACAGGGCTCAGGTCGACTCCTCCGATTCGATTTGATTAGATTTCGATGGCTTTCGATTCCGATTCCTCTCGACTCCGAATTCCGATTCGGATCTCGATTCCTCAACGGAGGCCTTTCTAGCCTGCCGATTTCCGCCGATTCGACTCCTCCCGACTTGGCTGCCGATTCCCGCCGGTCCGATCCATTTGGATCGCCGGTCCGACTCATCGAGTCGATGCTGGGCTTCCCTGGGAGGACCAAGGAGAGGGCCGAGCTGCTGGGCGCGCGGCCCTCGCGTGAGGCAGAGCGCGGCGCGAAGACTCCGGCCGCGAAGTCTTCCAAGGCGGCCGGGAAGGCGAAGGCGCAGAGGGCGGCCAAGCGAGAGGCGGCTCCCGAGACAGCGGTGCCCGTGCAGCCTGGCCGCGGCGCGAAGGCGGCGAGGAGGCGGCCGCGGGGGCCCCGCAGGGCGGCGCGCGTGGACGAGGCGGGCGACACCGTGGTGGAGCACGACTTCGCAGACAGCTCCGACGAGGAGCTGCGCGAGATCCAGGCCGAGGCCGCCAGGAAGAGGAGGGAGGAGCTCGAAGCGGCGGCAAAGGGGAAGCGCCAAGTGTTCGTCAAGGGGATCCCTTGGAGCGCCAGCGACGCCGACCTGGAGCGGCTGTTCGCCGGGTGCGGCGCCGTGGAGGGCGTAGCGTACCCGAAGGCGGAGAACGACAAGCCGAGAGGGTTCGCCTTCATCACCTTCGACTCCGAGGCCGCGGTGGCGAAGGCGCTGGCGTTCGACAAGCGGGACTACGAGGGCCGGCAGCTCTCCGTCAGCGTTGTGACGGGCAAGAAGGGCAGGGGCGACAAAGCGCGCGAGGAGGAGCTGGGCTCGGACGACGACAGCTCGCCGTCGGAGGACGGCTGGGACTCGGAGGACGACGAGTCGGACTCGGAGGGGGGCAAGGGCAAGGGCAAAGGCAAAGGCAAAGGCAAGGGCAAGGGCAAAGGCAAAGGCAAAGGAAAGGGCAAAGGTAAGCTCGAAAAAGGTGCAGGCAAAAGCAAGGGCGGAGGAAAGAGCAAGAAACAAGGCAAGGGAAAGGCCAAAGGCAAAGGCGCAAGGTGAAACGATGGCGCACATGCAGGAGCATCACGCGCTCGGCTTCGCACGGTCGCACCAGGGAGCACCACCACGTCGGCTTGAAGCAGGGTCCAGAGCGCGCTGCCAGAGCCCCCGCCCCGCTGCGGATTATACCCGCGTGGCCCGCGGCAGCTGGAGCTGGCTGGACGACGCCGCCGTGGTCGCGAGAGTTCTCGAGGAGGCTTGCCGTGACGCCGCGCGGATCCAAACAAAATTTGCCAGCGTGGGCCCCAAGCAGTAAATGATTGCGCTGCGGGTGCAGGCTATGTGGTGCAAGCCATGCGGTGCAAGCTAGATGGTGCAAGCCATGTGATGCAATCTGTTTGGTGCCAGCTGTGTGGTGCAAGCGATACGGTGGAAGTTATGTGGTGTAGGCTATGTGGTGCTAGCTGTGCGGTGCAGACTAGTTGACGTGAGCTTTGTTATGCAAGCCATGCGGTGCAACCTATGTGGTGCAAGGTGGAGGTAGTGTGGGGGCAAGCCCTTTGGTGTGAACTATATGGTGTAAGCTGTGCGTTGAAAGCCGTTCGGTGAAAGCGATCTCACAAACGCCGTGTGGTACGAGCCACGCGCGCAGTGCATGTGCTGCTAGCTGTGTGGCGCAAGCAGCGCGGCCGATCCACGCAGGAGGCGGGCACCAGACGGAGCCTCGGCACACCGGGCAGCGCACGAGGCGGGCCGCAGGCGGAACCCTTGCCACACCCGGCCAGCGCACGAGGCGCCCACGGGCGGGGACAGAGCGAAGTCTCGGCACGGGCGCCCACCGGGCCCCCGCCAGGCGGCCACGGGCGGGCACCGGGCGGAGCTTTGGCACTCCCATGCAGTCCATCACGGATCGAGGGCACCAATGGCTTGGTATCGCTCGGACGTGTGCACTGTTTCTCGGCGGGGATTATTAGGGACCATCCTGGAACATCCTGCGACAAAAACCAAGCACGAAACCAAGGAAAAAATACAGGGAATGGACGTCCGAGCGACGGGGCGAGGGGAACGAACAATGACATAAACATAGAAATTCGGAGGTCCGCACGGATTCCTTGGATCCGCACTGGACCCTTCTGGCGGCGCCTCCGGCTCCGCCTCTGGCGCGCCACGCGCGCCAGGGAGGGGGGTTCAGCGCGGATCCAAGAGATCCGCGGGGACCTCCAAACGTTTGTGTTTATGTTGTTTGTTGTTCCTCTAGGGCGGGCACCGGGCGAAACTTTGGCAAACACGTCCAATCCATCACGAATCGAGGGCGATAAGGACCCCTAGTTCCCCAAGCACTGCGTTGGGAAATAATAAAGACAGTGGTTCTCCGGACGGGGGGCTGACCGCTACATCCCCCCGCGCAGGATGGGACGCTCTGCGAACAAAGCACTGCGCCAGCGATCCATGAGATGCGCGCTTCGCAATGGAGTCCGCACTGCATTAACTCACGGGGGGCGTCCATGCGGAGGCTGATGTGGACGACAAAGGGGAGGACGTGGAGGACGAAGAGGACGGTAGGGAGGAGTCTAAGGTGGAGGGGGAGGAGGAGGTGGAGGAGAAGAGAGGAAGAAAGGACGTAAGGAGTGAGGGGGGAGTTAGTAGCAGGAAGCGAGGGGGGGCGGATGGGAAAGAGGGGGAGGGGGGCCCTACAAGGATTCATTATATAAGGGGCGTGCCCCGTTGGGAGACAGCCGTGTGAAGATCTGGAAGCATGCCAACACATCATTCTCGGAACTTCAACGCCATGTTGCAACATCGTGAATCAACGCCACAGCTGCGCCCTGACAATCCAGAATCGTTCAAAAACACAAGTTCTGGTACGCTAACCATGGGAACCCGTGAAACTCTGCTAATGTTCAAAGGAACCGCCTTCATTTGGTGAAGCTCTTGCATTGGCTGAAAACTATGTACGCGGCGCTAAGGCGAGAGCCGCAGTTTGAAAACCACCCGCCCAAACGAATGTGCGCGGCGCCAAGGCGATGGCTACATTTCGGAAACCACCCGCCCTCAATATGTGAAGCCCTTGCAATAATTTGAGACGGATGTGCGCGGCGCTAAGGCGAGAGCGACATGTTGAACACCGCCCGTCCTCCATCCGTGAAAGTGTTGCCAAGTCTAGAGTGTTGGGTTTTACATGGTAGTAGATGGTAAGGGAGTCTCAAGCGAAACGCCTGCCCCGCCCTTTCGACCAGCTCTGGGGTGAGACAGGGAGGAGTTATCGATGAGGGACAGGAATGGAGGAAGGGCATGACAATGAGGGAGAGGAGGAGACTGGGGGAAGGAAACGCAGCAGAGGATAAGGCGATCAAGAGGCAGCGCAGGAGCAAGGAGGACGGGAAAGGGATGCAAGGGAGAGGAGAACAAAGGCGACGGGGAACGACAGAACAATGAGGATGAGTAGGGCAAAAAGGAGCAGGAGGGATGAGGGGAGAAGGAGCAGCAGCAGCAGCAGCAGCACCTGCAGTAGCTGCAGCGGTAGAGGGGGCGAGGCGCGGAGCAGAGACGAGGAGAGCGCGGAGGAGGAGAGCGCAGTTTGGTACGGCTGCGGAGCCAGGCGCCGAACTTCGCGCCGCACTGCCAGGGTCCACGGTGGGCGAGCGCACCCCGCGCTACAACGAGGCGGCCAGCATCGGAGCGGCCAAAGAGGGACGGGACGTGCACTCGGACCGGCGTGGCTTGGGGTTGCGCGCAGAGCCCCCGGACAAAGTCCAGGCGGGCCTCGACAGGCTCCAGGCGAGTCTGGGGGCCTGTCAGCGCGCAGCCCCAGGACTTCCCTGAGTGAGCATCCATCCCCGAAATGAGTTGTTTGTTGGATCTTGTCACGCGGCGAGGCTCCGAGAAGTTCGTCTTTGTGCCCACGCGAGGAATGCAGTGACTGCTATTAGATAGATCTGACCGTCCAGCACACGACCAGCACGCTTTCGAGCCATACCTACACATGTGATGTCGCACTGCAATGTTTCGGCAGTGGTCCCCTTCCGCCTCCGAGAGCCCCCCGCCGGCCAGCCAGACCCCCCCTGGACAGGTCTTCCGACTGCGGACCGTGCCCCCCCCCCCACATTCCCCCCCCCCGCCCCCCCGCCGGATGTCCTGGAGCGCATCCAAGGAGTGTCCTGGCGTGGCGGACGTTTGTCTTGGAGGGAGTACTGCAGGGTGTCTTGCAGAGCGCCCCAGAACGTGCCCCGGAGGGAGTCCTGCAGCGCGTCCTGAAGCGTGTTGTGGAGCGTGTCCTGGGTCGTGTCCTCGGCCCCAGGCTTCTGACCAGAGGCTGAGTTTTTCTGAGAGGCGAACTTTCATTATCCATGGGTTCAGCCCGAACGTTTCCCGAGTTCAACAGGGTGATTCTAAGGTTGGGAGTTCCAGGGGGGGATTGTTTCCTGAGTTGCGTCCGTCGACCGCGCAAGCCCGCGTGGTTCCGTTGGGCCAGGAGCCTTCACGATGCTTGTTTGGCCTTCGCCCGTAAGTGTTTGATCCTCGGCAAGCGCTCGTGTGCCTTACCTTCGTCTGAGTTCCGTTTCTACAATACTGTCTGAGTTGAAACGTGCTTGCCTCCACTGTCCATGTCCCTTGGCTGTGGAAAGTAGGTGTTGAGGGATACCCAGGTTCCAATATGCGTTATGCGCCTTCCCACGTCAAGGATCGAGTGGGTGGTCCCCCTTCCGTCGTCTTCAGGGGGTGGGCGGAGATCCAATCTGTGCCCATGTCCTCTCTGCATCATGCTTCTGCCCAGCAGCGGCCGCCTTTTCGCCTTGCCTGGCAGCCGTTGTGCGGACGCAGCTGCGCCCGCACAGCGGCCCCAGCATAGCTTGGGGAAACCTCCAATACCTCGGCGACCCCTCCAGCGACGACCCTGGGGCGGTCCGTCTCTTCTGCCTCACCTTCACCCTCATCCTTTTTTCCAACCGTTACCCATCTTTGCTCATCTTTCTCATCCGCCTTCGCCGCTCCTCCGCCGCGGCCGCCACCAACGGCCGCGCGAGTGAGGGGATCCCACTGAGGTCGAGCAACGCCCGTCCATGCATCGTGAATAGGTGAGGTTCAGGTCTAGCACCGCGACCCTCAACGCCTCCTGCTCCACGGGCGCCGCGAGCAGGACCAGCATCACCACACTGGTGCCAGCTTGCCCGACCTGAGGTTCACAGACAGCAGAATTCTGCCCGCAACCGCATTGTCTGCCCGAGTGTGCGTTCGGTCCCAGCGCGATGGGAGACCGAATCGTGCGACCTCGTCCTCTTCCTCCTCATTCCTTGATCTGTTTGGCTCAATCGCGCGGCCCAGCGGCCACCGCGGCCCAGCTGGGCGTGCCCAGGAAGAGGCGGGGCCATGAGCCCGCTGCCGTGGATGAGGAGCGAGGTTTTCGACCAGGGGGTTTTCAGCACCTCTGTGCGGTGGACAGTGCCGAGGATATTGGACCCACTTGGTTCGCTTCGTATCGCGGTGCCGTCCATGAACATGACGTGCACCATGTTGGTGAATGCTACTACCACCAAGTGCAAGCCGGCTCTATCAGAGGCGGAGGCAATTATCCCTGTTGGCACACTGTTTCGGCTCTCTCACAGCATCTTATCGGGCTGCAGGGTCGCCAGCTGGTTGTACGGCGAAGACGCTGAAATAAGGACCGCTTTGGGTTCGGAAGGGGCTCGGGATTTGTGTCGTTTCTTAGATTTATGTCGCGGGATTTGCTTGTGGCCTAGGCCCACCGTGGCCAGAAACGCCCCTTTGTTCCTTATTTGGCGTTCCTTCTGGTAGTACCTCGACTGTACGGCTAATCGGGTTTATCCTGATGTGCCAGGTTTTTAGTCCGCACCGTGTCGGGGCTGACGAGTTCGTCAAGTCGGGAGTGATGCCTCCCGCCAGCCAGTGCTCAGGGCGACTGTCTGCACGCTGCGCCTCCCCGCGGGCTAGGCACTCCTCGCAGTCGCCCACATGCAGCCGCGACCGCGAGGCCTCGGCGACAATGTTTGCGTTCGTGCGCGAGCATCGGTTCCTTCCTGCAGGTGGCTTGCTTGGCACTT